CGTGCAATTACAAAAGAAACACAAAGTACGATATAAAAAAATTATTTTGCCAGAATATTTTTATATTGCGAGAAAAATAACACTTTTATCATGTGTCGTTTGATTTCGGTATTATTAAATTCAGAAGTTAATGATTAAAATACAGTACTTGTTTTCTGTTGAATGAATAAGAGATGATTATTTTTATAAGAGCATGATCGCGCTCTTTATCATTGCTATGACTCTAAAGAGAAATCAAACAACAAAGCTTTTTTGATAACGGTAAGTTATTCGTTTTTATTTCTATATCAGGTTTAACTCTACGACTATTTAAATTTAAAAAAATGCACTGGATACGTTGATAGATAACTTGATTAACGCTGACATTAATAAAACAGAATTGAATTTCCAATAAAATCCTTATTGAAGCTGTTTTTATGTCTATGTACGTATTCATATCTTTGGATTAAAAATCTGATTGGCTAAATTGGTTTATATTGTGAAGTACCGGTACGTACAAGTTTTTATAAAGCTTTGTGTTGTTTTATGCTAAAAAAAAAACCGTATCAAAAACATGTTTATGTACGTATACGGATCCCATGTACTCAGCATTTACATAAAATAATCGAATTAGGTTCGTTTGGAAGCTTATCAATTAATTTCAATGTGAACTTTTCTAAACCTAATCTGTCTTAATCTTATTTTCTTAAATTTCAAGTTTTATATTAATCGTGTTGTAAGATGTTAAACAAAGTTATTGATAAAAGGTTTTTTTTTTAGTTTGCAGACATGTTAATTGAATGCTATAAGTGATATGGAGTATGGTAAAAAAATGTGCTTTTTTGTTTGTAATGCAAATAACATAAACCGCCACTTTTTCCGAGACACGCTGCAAAACGTCAATAATAAATTTTATTCAATTACATGTAAAAACTCTTGCAAGTGAAAATCGTATGATTGTGCAAATTACATGTATACAACTACAGTATTACATATTCACATGAAATTCGCAAACCACATGATTTTTAATTCTACTCAGATTATTCCTTTGCGTCTTGCTCACTTTCCTGTTGCGGTTTCGACGAGGTATTACTCGAAAAGAAAATGAAAACGAAAAATAAAAGAACGATCCAAATGCAGCCTGTAATGTACCACGCAACCGGAACTTCGTACAATCTAAGACCGAATCCGATACTAATGAATGCCGAAAAGCATACAATATATCCCCAAATTCTTCATGATTTTATAAAAAAAAAAAAATACTAGATAAATATAAATTCGCTTCGAATATCAATTAGCACCATACGCATGTACCTATGTAATTTTGTCCACCATGCAACATTTCCACGGTCTGGTTTCCACAGTTTATGGTGAATCCATCCAAGAACAGTTTCAAGTAAAAATCCAATCCCAGCAATATGGCCGAATATCTATTTTTTAATGTTATCATTATTGCTGTTATTGATGTAATGCTTACAGAAAGCAACCATTAAGAATTTCGATATTAAATGTTTTCTCACCGAATGAGGATCTAATGCCCAATTTTTTATCCTATTAGATTCATTTTGTATGAAATGAGCAATTACGAATCCTCCGATTACTAAAGGTGTGGCAATTAATAGTTGAAGAGACCAATGAAGACGGAACCAAAAGTTTGGTAATCTTGTTTTCCCAAAACGAACGATGCCAATTGCGATTGGAGTTACGAGGAGAAAAGGAACGGATAATAGTACGCCTAGAAAAGTAAAAGTTTGTGTTTTTTTTTAGTATAGATGAATGTTCATGCGCACAACAGCTCAGTTTTTTTTTCTTGAAAAATCTCTACCATGTATGATTACTAATTTATCATATTTAGTTAATCCATTCGAAGAATTATACACAGTTGTCGAGTTATTGGTGCTAATGTCTGTAGTATTCATTTTGTAAACTTCTTAAAGCAAAGAGAAAGAGGGCTTCTGTTCTTCTGAAGAAATGAAAACTTCAACTTTTATACACTCATCCACAATCCACATTCGACGTCATCTAAAGAATTCTCGACAGCAATACACATTTAACGTCATCTACACATTCGACTGGAATGCACAGCTAATTGACGGTGGATTTTCCCACTCCTTTTGGTTAATGACAGCAATGGTGAACATATATTTAACGTCATTCAAAGAAACAAATTTTCTTTTTATTCTTTTTCCAAAAATGTACACAATAAAAAATCTGTGTTACATTCTATGATCTCACTCCTGATCTGCATAATGATAACGATAGTGATATTAGTATATGTATTCAGAAACTTTATGCGCTATTCGATTTTTGTTGTTACTTAATAGGGCAAAGAACAAAGGAGAGCCAATATTTGTGTATTACGCCAATGTTCTTTGATAGATAGCAAGCAGTTAAAGATTATAATCATTTTCCTGCTCATCGTTCGTTAGACACGAGCTATTTTCTGCAATTGAATTAAGCCATGTATTGCGAGTTCCGTTAAACACTAAAGAACCTATATTCAGGAGTATCGTAGTATCAATCTCTAGTTTTCGAAAGTATATGGTTATGTTGTAAATATGTAATTATTTAAAGGTACTTGATAATATAATTGATAGTCTGAAGAAATTGAACATAATACGATGACCGGCATCCTTAGTTATACTAGAATAATTGATAAGTAATCGATTATATAACAATGTTTGAACGCAATTAAATCCTAAAACCAAAAAGATATATATAAAGTAGACATCATAGTTTCTGCTGTTGATTATCTGAATTTGCTAGAATTTCCAATGTTTCTGCTGCAGGTGACGGATAATTCTTTATTCCTCCGCCAGGAATACACAATTGAAAATGTTGATGATTTGAATTTGTTTTTGATACGATGTAATTGTTCGATGATAATTTTTGTGGTGGTTGTTGTTCACTACCCCAACTTTGGGAATGTGATTGAGAAGATGACGATGATGGCCGAATTGTAAAATAATCAACGGAGGATGATGATTTGTTGGTATTGGCATTAGTGATCGGAGATGTTGGTGTCGCAATTCCAATATTTTCTGGAATATTGCTGTTGCTTTTTAACTGTTTACTCGGTCGACGAGTAATTGGATTCATCCTTTCACTAGATCTTTTTGTTGATCTCATTTTCTTGGATGATTCGGATCGAGACGCAATGCTCGGTGACTTATCCAATTTAGCAGATGATTGCCGGAAATTCTCGATCAAACTATTATGGTACATAGTCGCTTGAAGTTGTTGTGGGATGCAATCGTTGTAACTAGCTCTTTCAGATTGTGCATTGCTAGTGACTAGATCGATAGAAGTTGCAATGGTAGCAGTAGATTCAATTGTCGTAATATTCTTATTGTTTTCTTTGCGTCTTTGATTAAGTGTAACGTTATTATGACTATTACTTTTGTTTTTATTATCATCACGGCAAAACTGTAGACTCATCGGTACAAATTGAGGATTATTTCGTTGATGAATTCGCCGGTGTGCCGCGAAATTATCGGATCTACCGAATCTCTTATTACAACCGGGATAATCACAACGATATTTTCGCTCGCCTGTATGTGTAAGCATATGACGCTTCAAATGTTCTGCCCGTTTAAATGACCAAATGCAATCTGGCCATTGACAACGATGCTTGTTTCTTGACGGACAAGGTTTACTGTTTCGTTTTTGTACTGATGATGAGCTTGTGGTATGAGTGGTATTATTGTTGATTGATGATGAAGTTGGAGTTTCATGTGGTGTTGTCATAAAAGTGAAATCATTTGCGTGGGTGTCATTTAGAGTGTAATAAGGAGATGTTGTAGCTGTTGTTGCGAGTGATGAAGGCGTTTCTGGTACATAATAATATGGTGTCGATATTTCAGAATCGGTAGATAAAAAAGGGGAATATGGTAAAAATGGATCAAAGGAGGCCAAATTTTCTTCTATCGAAGAATAATTTTTGGCGTCATCATCAATAATAAGATTCAAAGAAGACGTTGATAGTAAATCATAGTGTAATGTCGACTGCGGAAAATCCATCGAGGTGAAGTGATTATAAGAGGAGTTGGATAATCCCAAAGAATTGGCAATGATATCGTTATTATTGGTGTCTTGCTCGTGTTGATGATATTGAGTATGAGCAGAATTCAGTTCACTAGGATCGGAAAATGGTGCGGTTAAGAGCAATGATGGGCGACTCTTTTGCATGATTGCGGCGGTGAATTGTGGAGTATTTGGGACATTGTGATTGTCGTTATTCAAGATTAATGCTGTGGTAAGTATTCGGATTAGTTTGGTTTTTTGCGAAATAAATGATGGAAATTATAAAGTTAATTAAGTATTACCCATTTTTTGAGTAGTTCCCTGCGTTGATTATTATCAAGATCAAGAGTTTAAACTCAATCTCTTTGATCAAAAACAAATTATATTCGTTCAATTCAACTCGAAAACAATAAAATTAGCGTGTTAGCTAAAACAACCGGCGTTTTTATTTATGCTAATTTGTTTATGTATAAGAGCAGCGAATGCAATTGTGAAATAATAAGCAAAGAGAAAGTTGACAGTGAGAATAGTTAGACGAAAACTATGATCACACATCAAAAAAGGCAATGAATAAAGGAAAACGAATTTAATAATAATGAACAACGTTAAAGGGTTGTTATTATCACGTATGTACGGATCTTGGTTCTCGAAGTAAGGAGGAACAAAAGAACCTCGAAAAAGAAATTGGTCTTGTTTACTATTTATAAGTGATTTTTTGTTGTTGATTCATTATACATTTGTATCGTGATTATTGTTAGCTTATGCGAGCACAAACATATAAGTGGAAAGTCGAGATTTTAAAGAGGTGACATGAAATATGGTGAGAACAATTACAAAAATTCTTTTTCGGGAGTGCATGCATCAAACTAAATACGAGATCAAATCGTCATCACATCATGTTATTTTTCTTAGTCTTTTAAAGTTTATTATCGTTATGTTTGTTGAGATACGTATACAATTAAGGATCCGAACAACTTACTTTGATGCTTGGTATTATTAGGTTGTTTCATTTATTCTATCTACGTAGTTAGTTTTAGCTTTTGTTATTTAGTTTTTTTTTATACTTGTTCCACATGACAGATTAAAAAAAAATATCGACCATAATGCACCAATATAAAACAATTGTTATGTATTTTACCAAATTTAGATGCCCCGAAAGTGGACAGACTAATTTGCCATCTTACAACGTCGTCGCTGTTGACGAGAACAAAATCTATCGCTAATATTATTTATGTTAAAACGATCGTTTTAATCGAAGGAAAACCTTATGTAAATTCTTGATGACATTATATGTGACATAAAACTACTCCATTGAAATTTGTTCATTTGACTCTTTTTTGGTGAATACACTAATGATAAATGAGCAAACCCCGATAATATTAGAGTAACCCAGATCGACAAATGCCAACACACATATGGTACATCCCCACGATCTGAAGAATATTACGAAAAGCTTTTTTATGAAAGAGCGTTTTATAAGAAGCAAAAAGATAATTCGAATTACTTATGCATATCGAAATACCTATGGCATTTTATCCACCAAAACACTAATTGCTCTCGGGTTACCAATATTTATGACGAATCCAACCAAAAGCAGCTTGAGCGACAAGTCCAACTGCAGCAATGTTGCCCAAAAAATCTATCATTGTTGGTGAAATATATAAAACGTGAGCTTTCACCAATTCTAAATTTTTTGAACTTGAATTATTGTCTTACCACGTGAGCGTAGTATGTAAAATTTCTTGGACGATAAGGGTGGTCGTTCGAAAGACGGCATAATTGAAAGCTCGCAAGCACTAAAGGAACTGAGACGAATATTTGGATATACCAATGAAAGCGATACCAGGATCTAAATAGAGATATTTTCCCGAAGTGGGCAATAAAAATTGCGAGTGGTATTATTACGAGAAAAGCAACACATAGTAGTACGCCTAGAACAAAGATGAATTACGTTATCTTTCAATTTGAATGTTCTAAAATTATGAGATTGCCCGAAGGATCTGCACATCTCTTAATGGATTGGACAGGTGTGACGATAAAGGGATTTGACAGGATATAGGATTGATTCCAATAAAGAAAATATTCATTATTAAGATTTTAATATAATAGTAATTTTTATTATTACATGTATTAGATATCGTTATTGCTCAAAAATAAGATCCAAACTTTCGATTCACACCAGGTACTCTCTGATTTTTATATCTGAGAGAATCATAAAAGCACAATCTAAATAATCAACAATAGCTTCTACATACTGTAAATTATTCACAATTCATTCCCCATTAACATGATCAACCAAACGTTACAATACTACTACTTTGAACTTTAACTTTTGATGTTTTTCAATAATATTTTCATAACTTTCATTTATATCATATCATATTGATCAAAAATATTAATCTGATTATATATTCTAAAAGTTTTTATATTTTCAGATATATTTTACAATTTTCTTGCATTACAAATCAAAAAAGAATAATCAGATTGTCATTTAAAGATTGAATATATTAATCAAATATCCTGATGTTGTTTGTTTTTCTGATATTTTATGGATTAAGTGCTTGTATATATGAAGGAAACTATAAAGAAATAATGAATAGTTACAAATCCAGCATTCCAAATTGATAAAATATTGGTTTTTAATATTATTAGGCAACTTGATAAGATTTTTTCATTCTTTTTTAAATTTCTCAAACTATAACAGTGTTATTTTACTAAGTAATAATTGCTAAAATCAATTAACTTGATCAAATACAATATGTGAGCAAATAATCTATATTAAATAGTCAAATTATAAATAATTAAATTGATAAAGATAACAATATTTAGGACTTATCAATTATTATATTAGTTTTATCAAGTAATATTATCATTCAGATAAAACATATTCAAAAATATTATCATATAAATTTATATCAAAAAGAATATAAATTCATAATATTACAAAATAATTTATAATACAGAATTCATATATGTTTTTGTTCTTATTTCAATATAAAATAGAAATTATTTATTAATATTGATAAAAATTATAGGATATATATTAAAATAGTTTTAATTATATCAATAATAGTTTTACAAAATCAGATAGACAAATAATATAATATTCATTATTTATATATTATATATTGAATATAAAAAAATCAATAATGATAAAGTCTTTTATAACTTTTTCATATTTATAATTTATACACTCAATTTTTTATAATTTTTAAAGTTTTTTTAAGTACTTTTCAATATGTTATTTATAAATTATATATTTTTTGCAATATTTATTTCAGCAAAATTTTTATTAATATAAAAATAATTTGAATTTAAATATTTATTGTAAAGAATATGAAAAAAATCTATAAGATTTTCATTTTAAATCTTTTATTATATCTAAAATTAAATACAAATTCTTATAATATATTATCAAAAATTTAAAAAATGAATTTGTTATTTTGGAATCAAATATTTTAATACAATTAAACTTCTTTATAATTATTCTATTTTGTTTTTTATTTATATATAAATATAATAAAAAAATTTTTCTATAGTCATATTCTCTCTATTGTTATATTCTCTCTATAATTATCAAATTTTACTTTTCTGAAAATAATATCTATAAAGAAATTTGACTATATTTAGTAATCTTATTTAAACAAAGATATTACTATTATATTTACTTTAACTATATCAGAAAATTTTTATATCCAATTATAATCAATTATTATCTAAGAATTAATTATCATCAATTATTAATAATTAATAATTAATTATAATCAATTGCAATCAGATATAATTAATGATTATTAAAATTGAATATAATCAATTTTTTGTTTAGAATTGATGAACATCAATAATTAATGATCATTAATTTTAATTAATCGATTGTAATCGATTGTAAATGATTATAATTAATTATAATCACTACAGATTGATAGACAATGAGTAATTGATTACAATCAATAATCGATTCTCATCGATAATTAATAATTGATGATAATGATTATTGATTATAATCAATTACCTATTATTTATCAATTTGCAATGATTATAATTGATTGTAATTGTTTACAATCGATTATAATCAATTATAAATAATTATACTACCAATTAATTTATCTTCTACAAGTATATATAGAATATTAGAAAGCTTTCAAAATTTAATTCTTGATATTAATTCAATAAATATTTCAAGCAATATTTTATATTATAAATATTTTATTAATATAATAATAATTGAATAAATAAATAAAAAATTATTGCACAAAAACATACATTTAGAAGGTCTACTGTTCTAATTTAATGATTACTAAATCTATTTTGACTTTTTTTATATTTCTGATAACAACACCTTGATTTTCTATTGTTCTTTTTTGGTCTTCAAATATTGCTTTCATTTCTTTCATTTCTTCCATCATTTTTTTACTCCTTCTTTCATTTTTTTCATCAATAATTTATCCAATTTTTTGAACTGGTAACTAGAAATATTATAACACATATCTATTATGTTTGTAAATAATAAATTATAATTTGATAAATCTGCTTTGTCTATAATATGCAATGAATAATCATTGAGAATTGAGTTTATAAAGATTTTTAATACATTGCTCTTTTTGTATCTTGATAGTATCTCTTCAAAGATATTGATATTACTGGCACAAACTTTTATCATTAAATAATTTTTGCATTGGACTAAAAGTATATAGTGTTCTCGTTAATTCAAAAATTGTTAAAATTAATGAATTAACAAAGTAACATAACAGTGAAATAACAAAGACTGAATGAATTACAATCAATGGGGTTCACTAAAGATTCTAAAGATTTCCTGTGATAGCTTGTATGTAAACTAACTAAATATTATCAATAAAGAGTAAAAATGAATAGAAAAATAAAGTGAAAAGATAAAAAGAATTAATAAATAGTTTCAAAGTAAATAACAGGACTTATTGAAGATGCCTAATAAAATAAAATAATAATTGGACTTATTGAGACTGCCAATTACAAAATATAAACAAAAAATAAACAAAAATAATCAAACAGAACTTATTGAAATTGCCTAAAAGTAATAAAACAAAAGTAATAATATCAACGGCTTATTTAGAGTGGAGGAGCATCCACTACTTGTAATTCCAAGATTTGAAGATAATTCATGAAAATAATAATATATTTACAAGTAAAATATTATTAGTAAGAACTTTGTTATTTATTAGATAAAAGAATTAGAGCAT